TTTTAATAATTTAAAAATATCATAAGCTTTAAGAGTATGTTCTTTGACCTTAATGGATTTAAATTAGATATCAATAAGAATAAGATATCTAGGAAAATCTCATACATTTGAAAATTAACACTCTTCTAAATAATTTGTGGATCAAAAAGTAATCAGAGGAAACTAGGAAACATTTCAAATTTATCAAGAATGAAAATGCAATATATTAAAAATGTGTGCAATACTATTAAATAGCGCCTAGAGGAAATTTACAGCTATAAATGTTCATAGCAGGAAAGAAAAAAGTTCCAAACCCAATGACTTCAGGAAGCTAGAACAAAACAGTAATGTAAATTCAAAGTAGATAGAAGAAATTAGTAATGATAAGAGGAAAAATCAATAAAATAGAAAAAATAAACAGAAAAAAATTAACAGAGCTAAAGCTGTTCTTTGAAAAGAGCAACATGATTGACAGCCTTCTATCTAGACTGGTCAATAAAAAGGAGAAAACACAAAATACCAATATTAGATCCTACAGATGTGAAATACATAAGAAAATGTTACAAACAACTTTATCTCAATAAATTTGACAATTTTGATGAAGTGGATAAATTCCTTGCAAAATACAACTTACCAAAACTCACATAAGATGAAACAAAGTCTGAACAATCCTATGTCTGTTAAAAAAAATTGACTTTGTCATCAAAAATATTCCGACAAAGAAATATCCATCTTTGGATAGTTTAACTGGTGAATTCTATCAAATATGCAAAGAACAGATAATAACAATCTTATGCAAGTTTGTTTAGAGAAGGAAGAAATACTATGCAAAATACCCTGGCAAAAAAATTCATAAAAGGAATATTAAAGACTAAGGTATTTTATGAACATAGTTATAATAATTTTCAGTAAAATATTAACTAATTGAATATAACAATATACTAAAAAGATAATATATCATGTGTTATAGTTAATTTTATGTGTCAGCTCACCTGGGCCTCAGTGTGCACAGATATTTGGTCAAGCATTATTCTGTTGTTTCTGTGAGGGCATTTTTGGATGGGATTAACATATAAGAGGGTAGACTGAGTAAAGCAGATTGCCCTTCCTAACATGAGTGGACCTCATTCAACCAGTTGAAGGCCTAACTAGAACTAAAAGGCTGACCCCCTCCCAAGTAAGAGAATTCTTTCTGCCTGTCTTTGAACAAGAACAGTGACTCTTCCTGGTTCTTGAGCTGTCAGCCTTCAAGTTGGAAGTACAATTTTGGGTGTCCTGGATCTCCAGCTTGCTGATTTATCCTGCAGATCTTGGGACTTGTCAGCCTGCATGATTATATGAGTCACTTCCTTATAATAAATCTCTTTCTTTATATGTATATATCCTATTGGTTTCTCTGGAGAATCCTGACTCATATATTGGGCTTATCCAAGGAATGCAAGATTAATTCTGCATTCAAAAATTAATTAAAAGAATTCACCATATTTAAAAACAAACAGAAAATCATACAGTCATCTTAATAGATACATAACAAGCATTTGTTGACAAAATTCAACACTCATTCATGATAAAAACTCTCAGCAAGCCAGAAACAGAAGGGAGCTTCCTCAACTGGATAAAGGGCGTATGTGAAAAACCTATAACTAACATCAAGCTTGATGGTGAAATATTGAATGTTTTTTCCCTAAGACTGGGAGCAAGACAAAGATTCTTGATCTTACATTCATCAACATTGTTAAGATGTTAATAACAAATGACATGATTGTCTAGGTAGAAAATCCTAAGGATCTGTAAAGGAGCTACTGGAACTGATAATGAATTTTGCAAGGTCATAGATACAAGGTTAGTGTAAAAAACATTATACATATACGTATATGCATATATACATATATCTATATATATAGAGAGAGAGAGGGAAAGAGAGACTAGCAGCAAACCATTGGAAAATAAAGTAAAATAATTTTTTACAACAGCACAAAACATATAAAATAGTAGTAACTTTCAAAAACAAGTGCAACTCATGTTCACTAAAGATTACATAGCATTGCTGATTATAGAGGACCTAAATACATTGGGAGATATACTGTCATCCTGTAGTGGAACACTCGGTATTATAAAGGTGTCAAATTTTCCAAAATTTATTTATTGTTTCAATACAATTCTAATCAAAATTCCAGCAGAATTATGTTGGAAATCGCGATGATTATTATAAACTTTATATAGAAATGCAAAATAATACTTTTTAAATGAAGAACAAAGTTAGAGAACTCATATTTCTTGATTCAAAGCATGCTTAAGTTACAGTATTCAAGGCAGCATTTCACTGGTGAAAGATGGACATATCTATGGGACAGAATTCAGAGTTTCAAAATTGACTCATCAATTGATTTATGACATAGGTGCCAAATTAATTCAATGGGGAAAAGAAAATATTTTCAACACATGGTTTTGGAACAACGGGAAAAAATAACTTTGACCCTTATCACATACCATATTCAAAAAATAGCTCAAAATTGGTTATAAACGTAAACGTAAAAGCTAAAATGGCAAGAATTCCAGAGGAAAACAGTTAAGTCCTTGGAAGTAGATGGAGGTTTCTCAGATAGGACAGAAAAAGCATGAAGCATTTTCTGAATGATAAATTGAACTTCATAAAAATTAAAACCTTTCACTCTTTGGAAGACACCGTTAAAAAAAAAAGCAAGCCAAGAAATTGGAGAAATTATTCACAACACTTACGTTTTACGTATGTTTTGAATCCAAAATGTGTAAGGTACTTTTATAATTCAATAATAAGAAAACGATTCAATTTTTTAATGAGAAAGGTTTGAAACAGACATTTCCCTAAAAATTGTATACAAATGGAATATAAGTACATGAAAATGTGCCTGACGTAATTAGTCATTCAAAGAAATGTAGATTAAAACCACAATGAGATACCACTACATATCCATCAGAAGAATGGCTGAAATTAAAGACTGATCAGAGTAGGCAAAGAAAAACTGAAAATGTTAGACACTAGTGGTCACATGTGAAGTGATACAACCACTTTGAAAAATATTTGGCAGTTTCTTTTCTTTTTTCTTTTTTTTCCAAGATGGAGTCTCGCTCTGTCACCCAGGCTAGAGTGCAGTGGCGTGATCTCACCTCATTGCAACTTCCGCCTCCTGGGTTCAAGCAATTCTCCTGTCTCAGCCTCCTGAGTAGCTGGAACTACAGGCACACGCCACAACACCCAGCTAATTTTTGTATTTTTAGTAGAGATGGGGTTTCACCATGTTGGTCAGGCTGGTCTCAAACTCCTGACCTCAAGTGATCCACCCACCTCGGCCTCCTAGAGTGTTGGGATTACAGGCGTGAGCCACCACGCCAGGCTGGCAGTTTCTTATAAACACTCAGCTATCTTATAAACCAGTCACTCTGCTTCTAGGTATTCACCCCAGATAAATGAAAACATATGTGTCTACACAAAGATTTATGTATGAATACCCATAGTAGCTTTATTCACAATAGTCCCAAACTAGAATCTGATAGCTCGAATGTCTGCTAGCTGGTAAATGGATTACAAATTGTGGTATGCTGATATGATAGAATACCACTCTGCAACAAGAGAAAATGAACTATTGATGAACCACTATATAGATGAATTGTAAATCATTATGCTGAGTAAAGAAAGAGTACATTTTGTATTTTATATCTGTGTGTATGTGTCTATGTATATACATAGAAACATGTGTGTATATATCTAGTATCTATATTAATATATAATGTGTATGTCTGTATATAATATATGTATTATCCATTATATTTTAAAATAATTTCTGTATATATGCATGTATATGTATATACACACACACATATTTAATATGTGGTACATATGTGTGTATATATGCATATCTACACGTATATATATAATAAATATGTGTATGTATGTATTAAATATGTGTGTATATAATATATAAATATTGAAATATATGTTAAATATTTGAAATATATTATATATTATATACTAAACATATATGTGTATACTTTATATACATATGTATAAAACTAGAAAAATCAAACTGTTTTAGATAGACATGAGCCAGATCAAACTTTGCCTGGGACTAGATTTGAGGGTGATGGAAATATTTGGTATCATGATTACAGTGGTATTTTCAAAAACTTATTCAACTGTTAAACTCCTTACATTCTGCAATTTATGTAAATTTTCAGCAGTTTATTCTATGTAAATTATACTTCAATAAAGTTGTTAGAGACAGTAAAAGGATCAATGATTGGCAGGGGTGAGGGAAAAGACAGAGGGGTGAATCGAAGGAGCACAGGGGATTTTAGGGTTCTGAATCTGTTCTGTAAGGATACTGTGATGGTGGATACATGGCATTACGCATTTGTCAAAACTGGTAGAAGTGTGCAATGTGCCCGGTGAACCTTAAGGTAGACTAAGGACTGTAGTTAACATAATGTATCAATATTGGTTCACTAGTTGTAACAAATGCACCACATTAACACAAGACTTTAAAAATAAGGAAACTGTGCAGGAAGAGAGGTAACATGGGAACTAGCTATACTATAAGCTTAATTTTTCTGTCAGCCTAAAACTCTATTAAAAAATCAAGCTGTTTTTAAAAAGATGGACTACCTGTATCCAACGTGAAATATGATTATCAATTTACTTCCTAGGATTATTTTTAAGTTAATTCTTTCTTAAAACTCTGATTCATTTGGAGAAAAGAGCATTTTAACACAATTTTCAGTTTCATTGAATTTTTTCCTGTGAGTTAATTTTCCAAATGATATGTGTATTCCATGTGTCATATTCCTCATAAATGATTTCCTTAATCCTTAGCTTTCATTTATTCCAAATAAAAAGCTCACCTTAAAGACCCAAATTAGATGAGAAATGTCAGAAATAGTTAACTGATTTTGATTACCAGTGGCAAAAACAAACAAACAAAAAACTGATTTTTGTTTTCCATTTTTGACTTCCATCCTTTTTCCTCCATGGTTGTCTCTAAAAGGGAGTTTCGAACCTTGGTAATTGAAATGGTGATGGCCACGGATATGTCTTGTCACTTCCAACAAATCAAAGCAATGAAGACTGCTCTGCAGCAGCCAGAAGCGTAAGTGTGCTTGCAGCTTGTGCTTGTGTTTGTATAGGTGTTTAAATGGGTCCTTGTCCATGTGGCTATCCCTTTAAAGAGCATCTCCTTTAACACAACTTTATAGAGTGTTCTCATGCAATGGCGATGTTTGAAGGAGAAAGCATAAAAGTTGTACCTATCACAATGAGGTATGTTCTCATCAGGGTTGAAAAAATAATAGAGGCAGTATCAGTTGTCCTCAATGAGAATTTAAAATAATTCCCTGTGGGAAACTAAATTATCAGAGATCCCCAATGCAGAGGCAACACATAAAAGTCAGTGACTCTTGGATTCTTGCTGTCTTTTTGAAGGATGCAGTCATCCCAGAAATGGATTTGAGTCCAGAGAGTCCAATTCTGTAAATATGGAGACCAAGTTAATGAGTATCCCAGTTGTAGGATGAAATGATGTCTTTTCCTCAATTTAGCTGAAGTGGGGTTTGAGATGGAAGAACAACAGAAATTAAAAACTTAATAATTTTTTAAAAACTCTTATTGAAGTTCTGAAGAGTGTGGTCATCATGTGTTTGGGTGCTTTTGGTTTACAGCATTGAAAAGCCAAAAGCCTTATCCCTTATGCTGCATACGGCAGATATTAGCCATCCAGCAAAAGCGTGGGACCTCCATCATCGCTGGACAATGTCACTCCTGGAGGAGTTCTTCAGACAGGTACCTTGTTGCTCTCTCTCCATCAGGGCTGTCATCATTGGATATTTGATGAATTTTGTATCTCAGCAATGCTAGTGTAAGGACTATTGAGATTATAGTAATTTTGGAGAGGGGAGGGGGACTCCACAGATTATTTTGCTTCTTGGTCATGTGATGTTTGAGTCTCACCTAAATACTGATGTTTATGACATTATGGTATTTCTATCCTATGCATTTCTGTTTGGGGAAAAAAAGTGTTTCCTTGTGGCAGTCTTTTGTCAAAATGTCATTTGAGGGGTTCTTTTACTTTTTTTTCTAGTAGCTCGACAAAATGACAGTTACTTTGGCATCACCCTGTAGGATTAAGATGTTAATCTTGAACTCATGTCTCTATTATAATTGGTTGGGTTGTTTCTTTCTAGTGGACAAGTCCATGATGCAAAATTCTCAACCAAATATGGCAATTTGGGGTCAGGAAATCACTAGAAACTACTATTCCAATTATATTTAAACTTCACTACATCCTAAGTTCCAGAGTTGTGTTGTCTATAAGAATAGGCAGGATTGGTCTGGTGCGGTGCCTCATGCCTGTAATCCCAGCACTTTGGGAGGCCAAGGCGGGTGGATCATGAGGTCAGGAGATCGAGACCATCCTTGCCAAGATGGTGAAACCCCATCTCTACTAAAATTACAAAAATTAGCTGGGTGTGGTGGTGGGTGCCTGTAATCCCAGCTACCTGGGAGGCTGAGGCAGGAGAATCGCTTGAACCTGGGAGGCGGAGGTTGCAGAGAGCCGAGATCACACCACTGCAGTCCAGCCCGGTGACAGAGTGAAACTCTGTCTCAAAAAAAGAATAGGCAGGATCTTTAATTATTATAAATTGTTTAAAAACAAATTTTAAAACTGCATAGAACTAGAGAAACAGAAAGGGAAATAAATTCTTGGCACCAAGGCCAAAATGTTTCCAATTCAGGCACATGTGCTAACCTTATCTCTAGAGGTGCTGCCATTCAAACATCTGCCTCCAGACATGCAGGCCTGAGATTGAAGGCATGATACATACATTTGGGGACTTAAATTATAATTAATTCAAGTTAATATAGTTAATTCAGTTAATTCTTGCTAATTCAAGAAAGAAGTTCAACAGCATGGATTCAGAGACTTCTGATTCCATAAAACACTACTTAATAACACGAGTCACAACTTCATCCTGCAAACTGACAAGAGATGGGCTCTTTTGCTATTTATTTAGAGTTCTGAAAGACAATTGCTTTTGTGATAATTCTTACTCTTATATTTCGAGTTTGAATGGAGAAATTGTAGAAGGCACCTGTGTGTGTGTGTGTGTGTGTGTTTTCCTTCTGAAGCTGTGCATACTATCTAGTAATGAAGTGGGGCTAGAGTTAACAGCACATTAAACAAATGCCAGAAGACCCTTTATTGGAGTTTATTTCAACTGATTTATGGCCTGAGTCTAATCAAATTGCTTCTCTAATTCCCTATGGTCTTATCTATGATTTATGTTGGGAGGGTGGGGGGAGGGAGGGATTTAGGATAAGGTTGGACCAGATGTTTTCTTAAGACCCTTTCGTTAGGAAATGCAAGGCATTTGCTTCACTCTGTCTATGGTGCACATGCACACATGCACATACACATGCCACAGCACCCTCGAGCTGTTATATGTGTATGTCAACAGGTACCCTATTTAGTTTATGGTTAATTCTCTTTGCAGAGTCATTGCTCAGCCTCCCAGAGTAGTTCTCAAAGGGGACTCAATGGTGTGGGAGGAACTAGAACTATACAGGTGACTCTGGAAAATCATCCTTCACCAAGGGTTTCTTTTGAGCTATTTTTCCAAAGGCTGTTTTTCTAATAGTAGTAGGAGGATGTTCTCCAAATCTCCACTCCCCCTATCAAGCTTTCTTTGATAATACTTTTGCAATATCACACTGTATTAGTCTGTTCTCATGCTGCTAATAAAGACATACTCAAGACTCAGTAATTTGTAAAGGAAAGAGGTTTAATTGACTCACAGTTCCACATGGCTGGGGAGGTCTCACAATCATGGCAGAAGAGTAAAGGGACGTCTTACCCAGTGGCCAGCAAAGAGAGAGAATGAGATCCAAGCAAAAGGGATTTTTCCGTTATAAAACCATCAGATCTCATGAGACTTATTCACTACCACAAGAATGGTATGGGGAAAACCGCCCGCAGGATTCCATTCTCTCTCACAGGCTTCATTTCACAACATGTGGGAATTGTGGGAGCTACAAAATAAGATGAGATTTGGGTGGGGACACAGCCAAACCATATCATTCCACCCTGGCCCCTCCCAAATCTCGTATTCTCACATTTCAAAACCAATCATGCCTTCCCAACAGTCCCTCAAAGTCTTAACTCATTTCCACATTAACTCAAAAGTCCGCAGTTCAAAATCTCATCTGAGACAAGACAAGTCCCTTCCACCTATGAGTCTGTAAAGTCAAAAGAAAGTTAGTTATTTCCTAGATACAATGTGGGTACAGGCATTGGGTAAATACAGCCATTTCAAATGGGAGAAATTGGCCAAATAAGGGGGGTACAGGGCCCATGCAAGTCAAAAATCCAGCATGGCAGTCAAATCTTAAATCTCCAAAATGATCTCCTTTGACTCTATGTCTCACATCCACGTCATGCTGATGTAAGAGGTGGGTTCCCATGGTCTTGGGCAGCTCTGCCTCTGTGGCTTTGCAGGGTACGGCCTCTATCCTGACTGCTTTCATGGGCTGGCAATGAGTGTCTGCTGCTTTTCCAGGCACATGGTGCAAGCTGTCAGTGGATTTACCATTCTGGGGTCTGGAGCACGGTGGCCTTCTTCTCACAGCTCCACTAGGCAGCACCCCAGTAGGGACTCTGGATGGGGGTTTCAATCCCACTTTTTGCTTCCACACTACCCTAGCAGAGGTTGTCCATGAGGGCCCTGCCCCAGCAGCAAATTTCTGCCTGGACATCCAGGTGGTTTCATACATCCTTTGAAATCTAGGCGGAGGTTCCCAAACCTCAATTCTTGACTTCTGTGCATCCACAGACTCAACACTCTGCAGAAATCTCCTAGGCTTAGGGCTTGCACCTTCTGAAGCCATGGCCTGAGCTGTACCTAGCCCCTTTTAGCCATGACTAGCATGTCTGGGATGCAGGGCACCAAGTCACTGGGCTGCACACAGTCATTTTTTCCTCCTAGGCCTGTTGGTCTGTGATGTGATGGGCTTCCAGGAAGGTTTCTGACATGCCCTGGAGACATTTTCCCCATCATCTTGTCTCCTTGTTACTTCTGCAAATTTGTGCAGCAGGCTTGAATTTCTGCTTAGAAAATGGGTTTTTCTTTTTGATTGCATCATCAGGCTGCAAATTTTCTGAACTTTTATGTGCTGTTTCCCTTTTAAAACCAAATGCTTTTTTTTTTAAATTATACTTTAAGTTCTAGGGTACATATGCACAACATGCAGGTTTGTTACATATGTATACATGTGCCATGTTGGTGTGCTGCACCTATTAACTCGTCGTTTACATTAGGTATATCTCCTAATGCTATCCCTCCCCCCTCCCCCTCCCCACAATAGAACCTGGTGTGTGATGTTCCCCTTCCCGAGTCCAGGTGATCTCATTGTTCAGTTCCCACCTATGAGTGAGAACATGAGGTGTTTGGTTTTCTGTTATTGAGATAGTTTGCTGAGAATGATGGTTTCTAGCTGCATCCATGTCCCTACAAAGGACACGAACTCATCCTTTTTTATGGCTGCATAGTATTCCATGGTGTATATGTGCCACATTTTCTTAATCCAGTCTATCACCGATGGACATTTGGGTTGATTCCAAGTCTTTGCTATTCTGAATAGTGCCACAATAAACATACGTGTGCATGTGTCTTTAAAGCAGCATCACTTATAATCCTTTGGTATAGCCCCAGTAATGGGATGGCTGGGTCAAATGGTATTTCTAGTTCTAGATCCTTGAGGAATCACCACACTGTTTTCCACAATGATTGAACTAGTTTACAGTCCACCAACAGTGTAAAAGTGTTTCTGTTTCTCCACATCCTCTCCAGCACCTGTTGTTTCCTGATTTTTTAATGATTGCCTTTCTAACTGGTGTGAGATGGTATCTCATTGTGGTTTTGATTTGCATTTCTCTGATGGCCAGGGATGATGAGCATTTTTTCATGTGTCTGTTGCCTGTACGAATGTCTTCTGTTGAGAAGTGTTGTTCATATCCTTTGCCCACTTTCTGATGGGGTTGTTTGTTTTTTTCTTGTAAATTTGATTGAGTTCTTTATAGGTTCTGGTTATTAGCCCTTTGTCAGATGAGTAGATTGAAAAAATTTTCTCCCATTCTGTAGGTTGCCTGTTCACTCTGATGGTAGTTTCTTTTGCTGTGCAGAAGTTCTTTAGTTTAATGAGATCCCATTTGTCAATTTTGGCTTTTGTTGCTGTTGCTTTTGGTGTTTTAGACATGAAGTCCTTGCCCATGCCTATGTCCTGAATGGTATTACCTAGGTTTTTTTCTAGGGTTTTTATGGTATTAGGTCTAACATTTAAGTCTCTATTCCATCTTGAATTAAGTTTCGTATAAGGGGTAAGGAAAGGATCCAAGCCAAAAGAACAAAGCTGGAGGCATCATGCTACCTGACTTCAAACTATACTACAAGGCTACAGTAACCAAAACAGCATGGTACTGGTACCAAAACAGAGATATAGACCAATGGAACAGAACAGACCCCTCAGAAATAGTACCACACATCTACAGTCATCTGATCTTTGACAAACCTGACAAAAACAAGAAATGGGGATAGGATTCCCTATTTAATAAATGGTGCTGGAAAAATTGGCTAGCCATAAGTAGAAAGCCGAAACTGGATCCTTTCCTTACTCCTTATATAAAACCAAATGCTTTTAACAGCACCCAAGTCACCTCTTGAATGTTTTGCTGCTTAGAAATTGTATCTGCCAGATATCCTAAGTCATTTCACTCAAGTTCAAAGTTC